TTTCAGTTGCGAGTACAGCTCTTGTCCTGTCGTGTCTGTTCCTTTCATCGTCCTCATTTTTTGAAACTGTTACAGCCACCATGTCAAACTGCTACCAGTTCAACACCTTCTTTCAGTTTGGGGAGCCAACCGCTGCGGTCAACAGAGGCGATAAAACAAGGCTAAAAACGCGTCTAAAAAAAAGCTCTTTGCTGTGACATTGATTATGACGTGTCGTTCCAGGCTTCCTTTCTTTTCAACATTTCTCTCCCTCTCTCTTTCTCTCTCTGATTTTGATGTTTCACTGTGCTCAGGGACAAAGCACAGGCACTTTTTGTAGGTCTCAATATATATATTTATACGGATCCCCATGTGGCGGGTTCGAATCCCGGCCGAGGTGCCCGCATTCTGACGGAGGCTTATTGCAGAGAACCGAGATTTCAGTTGCACGTCAAAAGATCCCCAGGTGGTCGACATTAATCCTCAGTCCTCCGCTGGGACGTGCCAGATGCCCGCCGTTGGTTTGGCATGTAAAACCCCAAATTTGATATATATATATATATATATATATATCATTACTTTTAGGGCCTAGAGGGCGTTACAGAAGGTAGTGGAAGGTAATGAAAAATTCCATGAAATTGGAAAAAGACAACAAAGGAGGAACAACAAATGTTGGTTACAAAAAAAAATATAATCTTCAGTGTCGCCTTTGAAAAGTGATGCGTCGGTTATTGTGGTCGATTGTGCTGGGCAGGTGGTTCCATGCAGAGCTGGTATCTGGTATTAAATAATGGTAAAAAAAAAAATACGACAATGAGGGAGATCTACTTTATGACGCTGATCTGTATGAAAGGAGGATTATGACGGTTCCGAAAGAAGCTCACTTTGTAGTGACTGATTGTAATGTTAACTTATGTGAAATAGAACTTGTCGTGACAATTTTCTTCGTGAGACAAGATGAAGGAGATTTTCCTTCTTTCTGGCCAACCTTTTAGCCCACCATACCACTAGGTTGACGTTAGCACGACACATATGCCATTCCCTACATGATCATAGGGATCAAAGTGGCCAGACTGAATTTCGGAAAGGGTATATTGCTTTGCGAAAGATTATAAACGGGATAATTAAAATGTCTTCTGAAGGAAGGTGGAAGATAGAAATAAATGTAGCGTGGTAAAATTTTTAAGGGCCAAAAAAACAGCTCTTACACATAGAATAACATCACTACCGTTTCGTGTTTACCGTTTATTATTGTATTTACATCAATGCAAGCTCCACGCTTATGCCCAGTGATTTGTTGGGTTCTGCTGCTGCAGGAAAGCAAGGTATCGACTTGGGAGTACCTGAGCAATGATATCATTCATTCTCAAATGTTAGTATGTTTCTCGCAATAGTATCTTGACAACCACAAGGTTTACATGTTAACGATCAAATACCTTTACAAGATATAGGTAAATTCACACCTGCAGGAAGGTCTTCAGCTACAATTACGAGCCAACCACTTCCCTTGCGATCTTGTTCCTTTGGCAGCGAGTTAACCTTGCAGTTAGTTTTGAGATTTAAACTGTGAGAGACATACATATATTTATATCATGACCTTTACCCACGGCAATGTAATGACCACGACACCCTCGCTAAATTTCATACTTTTCAGAAATAGTTTTGTGAGCAATGGGTGCTTCATGTAGCGACTCCATCGAAATCAAACGGCGCGGCTCGGGTCAGGATCGCAGTGGAAAATAGGCGTGGCTCTCCAGCCCAGTGTTTGCCTGCCTTGTGCATCAGCCGGTTAAGTCGGTCTCCGAACAAGATGAAACCAGGCAACGCCGAACACAATATCTTTGATCTTACTTTGACTTTGACTTTCATTAGGAACAGGCAAGTGCAATGTTGACATCAGGGTCGGTTTTTAAACGAATTTAACCTTTTGCAGATGAGTAAAAGAACTGAAATGACAATGACTAATAAAGTGTTTCTAAACATATATGAATCACGGAAAGCAGGCGACCTAGCCTGCACTAACAAGCGATCGCTAGTGCTACTAGGTTTTTCCCACCCAACTAAGATACACGGTGTGAAAAAAGTGCTGGTATGGTGCAATGCACTTGTCAACTAGCGGAGAGAATTAATATTAGTGTTCAATAATGGCTGCCTGAGCAAACTATTGAACGGTGCCGCTGTGCTCACGCCGACCTTTTGTTTTGGTGCATGCACGCAAACCACCAGAACTACTTTTTAAGGAAACATATATTTCTTCTGTTCTAATAACTGAACTTACTATCAAATACATTGCTATAGATAGACGAAGTGAGCCGCAATCGGCGATGTACGCTGCTGCGATGTGCAACGACGGGAACGTTCACCGACGGCCGACATCCCGTCTGCGTTTTGATTTTACACATTTGACGAAAACAATCGGCCTCTCGATCGCTGTCAGTTATTCACTGCACATTGCTGATTACAAAGCTATAAAAAAAATAATGTTTAACGGTTACGCGTGATTTTACGAGCTTCATGCGACTCGGCGTACTGAGTTTAGTCCGTGGAGCAGCCAGCGCCGTTGCATCTGTGACTGTTCATAAAAAGAAAAGGAATCCCTTCGCTCCGTATTTGTGATTCCATTCATAGAGCAGTTCTTCCTTTGACAGATGCGTGCCGCGACACGAGCTTTCCATTTATTTAGCTGCATTAAACTTTTGTGGTGATGACAACGCCACTTTGGCCGCGACCTAGCTCGGCGGCATTGGTTCCAGGCTATCTGCTCCGACTACCACTAGGGGGCGGCAAACAATGGGAGACGGAGGCGACGACGGGGGATCGCTCGCTCCCTAGTTGGATGCACCTGACTTCCTCGTTACTTTTATCAAGTTTGTGTTTCTTTGTAGGAATAAGACGCCACACAAAGTCGCTGTATTCTTCGTTCCGCAATTGTGTGTACAGCTGCAACGGACAAAGATTAGCACAAGTGGCCGTTCACCAGCGGCAAAATTGCAACACGCGGCGCTATTGTTCCCGAGCGTGTCGATAGTGAGAGTGACCGTCACGTTCCATATCTCAGCGCGGGGGTGGCCGGCAGGGATAAGATAGCTAACGTAGAGGTTTGGGCTAGTTGATATTTCATTATTAAAAATTAAAACAGTGCAAGGACACGGACAACAACAAGAAGGTAGACGAACAAGGCGCTGACTTACAACTAAAGTTTATTCGTGCTAACATCAAGTATAAATACTCTGACGTCATGACCAACAAACAAAGATAAAATACAAGTAATGGACGCCACGTGCTCCTTAGCCACCGTTATTCGCTGTCACTGTGTGTCTAGAAAGCAACATTCCTTTTCGGATAAACACATTGAAGGAGTGCTGACGCAGTTTTCGCCCAATTTTCCAATTTCCCGCGCCTCAATGATTTCTCGAGTGAGTTTGTCTTTATTTTTCCTAATCACTTCACACTTGTCGAAGAGGAGAGTGCAGCAGCAGTCACGACAATGCAAGCCCCAAGGGCACCTGACACAACTCTAAAGACGTTATGCTTACGTTCTCGCAAGCGATCATTGAGGCAGCGCCCCGTTTGCCCGACGTACCTCCTGCCGCACGAGAGTGGAATAGAGTACACCACTCCCTCCACACAGTTCACGAATCGGTCGTGGTGTTTCTTGGTGCAACCCTGCTTTCCTTTAGAACAGGAGTTCACTTTTCTGCACAGTCCAGACAGCTTTTCCGGAGCCGAAAAAAAAACAACATCAACACCAACCCTTTGGGCAACTTTCTTTAGGTTGTGCGAGATCTTGTGCAGGTATGGTAAAACGGTTACTTTTTTGTTGACCCTATGAGCCTGCTGTGTCAGCACTCCTTCAATATGTTTATCGGAAAAGGAATGTTTATTTCTAGACACACCGTGACAGCGCATAACGGTGGCTAAGGAGCACGTGGCGTCCATTCTATGTATTTTATCTTTGTTTGATGTCATAGCGTTACAGTATTTATACTTGATGTTAGCACGAATAAACTTTAGTTGTAAGTCAGCGCCTTGTTCGTCTAACTTATTGTTCTTGTCCGTGTCCTTCCGCTGCTTTAATTTTTATTCATGATGAGATAGCTTTCGACATTCGGGATTTAGCATGGGCTGCTTTCGTGACTGGTGCTCTCGCCATCAGCGCGCTCCGGAACAATAGCTCCGCGTGTCGCGATTTTGCCGCTCGGGTCGTCGGTCACTTGAGCTACTCTTTTTCTGTTGCAGCTGTACATGTACACACATTTTACGGGCAAGAAGGAGATTTCCAAAAGAGACTGCCGCAACAACCAAACGTAAGATATACATTTCTCTTGATATTGGGACCGATTAATTAACGAAGACGCACTGTAGGATGAGGAGACGTTACAATAATTATTTGTGTTTAATATGAAAATGCTCGTTTACAGAAGTTCCGGAGTAAAGGGATACTTTACTCCGCTTGAACGCTTACCAGCCTTTCTTTAATAGTATGCAACAAAAAAAAAAAGTAATTACTTAAATGAGATATTTTAATTGTGGACGGACGGGTGGGTGTAACATATTTATAGAATACTTAAGAAAAGAGAGATCCTTGAACTCACCACCGGCCTCCTGCATTTACTGTGAAGTTCTTGTTTAGACGGCGGTATTGGGTGCTTTTATGTGACATTAATCCGCCATTTCGTTATTAGTTTTGGTTGTGCAAACGTACTTTATTTCTTCACACATCCGGCTACCGATATCATTGTGATGCGACATATAAGCTTCTGTGCACTAAGCAGTTGAGGGTGTCATGTTTATACTGGGAACACTCGTCTTCGGCACACGCCAGACGGCTCATAACAACAAACTTGTGGAAAAAATTACGTCAGTGAAAACAGTCGCTTCGTTATCGCACGGACACCGGGACGCTCATATTGAGCATTCCCAATTAACAACACTATATTATGAGATCGTTTTTTTTTTTGTTTTTTTTTCGCTTTCAGGTAACTTTCATTTTTCGCGTCCTGTCTAAGGAGTCAAGATCGATGTCGGAAATACCTATTGCCTGGGCTATGTGTTTTATGTTGTGTGTAAGCGGTATGTATGATGCTTCACGTAGCAGTCTTAAAGAGTGAGGGCACTAACGTTTTGAGACAAAAAAAAAAACACAAAAAAAACAAGCGCCATCGCGTGTCACGTGACGTGCTGAACCGAAATTTAGATTTCGCTACATGAGGCCTACAACTCCAAAGCATCACGCATGCATCGATATCCCAAACGGATGATCGTATTTTTGGAAAAGAAGGGCGCGATCAAGCGAGGACTGTGACATCACGATCCTCCTGGAACAGTTGAGAATGAGGGGAAGCGGCCTCGCTAATCAGGCCCGGATTAAGGTACGGGCTAAGGCGGCTGCAGGCTGCAGCCCAGGGCCTCAACTATGCTCCGCGGCAATTTTTCTTGGCAATGCAGTGGAAGGTGCAGGCACGCGTTCCCTTTCCCATTTTGACCACTGAATAAATCTGTGAGCGAACTCTTCTTCTCTCCCCGGAAATACCAAGAAAAGCCAGGGCCCAGACGCTCACAAGAGCCTCTGAGCCCTGGCTTTCTGGTTTCGTTCCACCTCCCCCCCCCCCCCCCCCCCCCCCGTTTTTTTTTCTTCTTTCTTTTTTTTTTAACGGTGAAACAGGTATGTCATAAAGTTCCCTACTCTAGACGAGCTGGTGTTTATGAGCTCGCTGTAAACCACTGTGATAGAGCAACAGAATGCAAGCGTTGCCTCGCAACCTCCTTGTGGGAGGGAGAAAAGCTGTCGATGCTGGCGGTCCCATTGCAGTCCCTTCGAATGCGAAGCGCAAGTTCGTCTGCTACTTGCACACGGGTTGCAATGACGTAAGAACGTCGAGCTCTTATTGGCTGATTGAAAAAATAATAGTGAGTAGGCCTCAAGGCGTCTAGCATTCAGGTCTATCCACTATCCTTTCAGTCAAAGCGAATCAGAGCTCGGCGTCGCTCTGACGTCACCGCAACTCCTGCAAAAGAAGCAGACGACATGCTCTCTGAATTGATGCCAGACGGAAGGAGGGCCACGGAGTTCTCGATTATTCTCTGGGGCCCCCTCGGCGCTTTTAACGGACAATGATGGGTCGGAAGGCAAGCAAGTGTTGCCGAAGGCTACACGAGCGACACAGATACTCCACATTAGTTTTGTTCATTTTTGGTCTTTTAGCGTAGTTCCATGTGGAAAGTGACCTCCGAACGACAAGGTTAAAACAAGCAAAACGAAATATCGGTGAGCCTTCCGAAGCCATACTTTTAATCACTAACAGGTGTCTCAAGGAGCAGGGTCTTGACATGTCCCCCAAAAGTTTTCGATAGGCAGTGACTGCAATCAACTTCTCCGGAGCCTGTGTCTGATCTGCCAGTAAGAGACAACACATACCATGTCATCGAGTATGAGCTCAGTCCCCGAGGTATGATTTGTTATTCTTAGCTTGGAGTAATAAATTCAAGTGGCTAAAACATTTCCTGATTACTCTAATTAGAAGAAACTATACCACTTTCGAAACTAATTCACATATTTTCTCCTTAAAACAAAATGCATGTAGGAGAGGAGCTTTAAAATACATCCCTGATCTTCGTGAGAAATGCCTGTGAATGTCAGTGGTTACTATATTGCAATCGCAATCAGTCTCTCTCGTTTCTTTTAATATTTGAATGCCGAAGTCTATTAGTTTGGAACACGAGAATTTTGTTATGAGATGAGAGTGGACGAAGCGGTTTGAGCCCTTAGTACTTTAACCACCACAATGACTTCGTTGTCCGTGTTGCTTTACTGTTCAAGTCAGTAATTAATTAAACAAACGTTAGTTAGACAAGTTCCTATCAATCGGAGCGATTTCTGGAATAAAAACACTATATTCTAGGGACAGCTTTCGAGTTGCGATTCGCGTCGCAAAGCATGTCTTTAGAGGCAGCGAATTTTTTTTCTTGTAATGGGGACTTTTGCAGGTATTCCTTCGGTTACTGTCTAATGCAAATTGCGCCCAAGTAATCAAGCCATTCGACATCAAGGGGGCCATATGTGCCATCATAAGGTTGTAGACCTGGTCAGAGTCGTTCATAGGAACGTGGAGTCGTCATTTTCAACTTTTTAGCGGAAGTTCACGAGGCCATCTAGCTGCTCAATGTGCGCGACCCTTCTTAACCTTTTCCCCAATCGTTCATTGCTTCGCGCTCTTAGTGAGTGAACGACTATTTCCGAAACAGCCTCTGATCTCCAATCGCATCTCCTTCATTTCCACCAGGTGAAACCCGAATTTCCTAATCCTCAAATCTACCGATGCAAAAACCTTCTAAGATGTATCATAAGGTGAACGATATTTGTACTTTATAAGAGGGTGAAATGTGCATATTGTCGTCATTGTTGTCACCTCCCTCACCATCGTCATCGTACCCAGTATTATCATCATGATTAGGGGCCTCATGAACTACCTAAGCCCAGGGCTTAGGCAGTTCACGAGGCCCCTAATCTAGCCCCTGCCTCGTTTCTCTCCTCCTCGCTTCGGTTCACCTGCTCGAGGGAACGAAGTGAAGAGGAGAGGGAATGAGAATCGTGACGTCACATGTCTCGTCGGCCTCGTCGGAGGCCGTGTTCATTCGTGCACTTCTTTTCCAAAAAATGCGACCAGCTGCAAAGCAGGAGTCACACTGCTTATACCATCATGAAAAAAACAGTCTGCAAACACAAGTCACCGCAACATCCGTGGTTCGAACGCCGCGTGCCAAGTTTCCTCCTTGAACTCACTGCCATGCGGCAATCGAAGCAGGGATCTCTCGGTGATTCGCTTTCGAATCCGTATGGAGACTGTCTTCTGCACGATGTATAAGCAGTGTAAACCCGGCTTTAGAGATATCGCTGTATGAGTGATGTTTTGGGGTTTTGCAGCGTCCCGCCTGCCTATCATCCCAGCCTTGTTTTGTAGGCTCCAAATTTCGGTTCAGCCAGTAAGTGGCTCATTATATTCTTGCTCCTTGCTTCCTGGTTCGTTTATTTGGCGTTCTTATCGGTGAACGCCGCCATCCCATTGGCTGGGGAGAGCAAGATGGCAGCGCCCTTATGTAGTACTTGGAAACATGTATAAAGTGCCGGTAGTGAGTCGCGCTTTTGTCCTGTCCCTGTCATTTTCATGACCTCTTGCACTATTGTTTATATATAAAAAAATATAAAAATAAGCTTGTTTTGTCTTTTTTTTTCATATTGTGTCGTTGTACCCTGTGGGTTGTTTATCACAATGTTTAAAACAACAACAGTGCAACGCCGGATTCTACCCTTGGTCAACGGCCTAGCCATTTGCAGATGAGTCATCGGTCAGGATACTTCGTAGAAGTCTTGACTGCACAAGTATTCACTTGCACTATACGCGTACATCTTGGCCAAAGAATAATGTTTTTTTTTATCTACATGACATGGCACGACATTGAAGTAGGTAGTAGCTATGATCTTCTCAATTATCTCTTGAAAAAAAAATAGGGTTGTGTGTGTGTTTATACAGCCTAGAACTTGGTCTGCCTCGCAGGGGCGACGAGTCTCCCAGCTGTAGATGAGAAATTTAGCCAGTGCGGTTCAACCGCTAGCGTGGGGTCTTTAACGTGCATCACGCAGTGGTGATACACGACCGCACGCCGGTACGATGCTCATCCAGATCGAAACGGGCAGGGGTGGGGCTCGAACCCAGGATCCCTGGGTTCTGCAGCGCGAGCTTTCGCTCCACGTGCTCCGAGCTGTTGTGCGCTAAACCACTCGGCCACCGATCCCCCCAATTATGTCTTGGAATCCAAAGTTTAAAGTGTAAACAGGCAGTCGGCCTCCGAACTCCAATATATGACTGCGGGGGTGCATATGCATTGCATGGCAGTCAAGGGCAGTATCGTAAAGGCATCTTATTCAAACGATAAAATAAAAAGGAACCTATTTGATCCACTTTTTTACGGTTTTTTTTACGTTCTGGTTCTCGTATATTTGAGATGCTCATATAGTTTTAACTTCGTGTGTTTCCGTGATAACTATTTGTGTATGAAAGTTCAAATATTATCAACATTTATAAGTGTTGAAATCAATATGTTGCACAGTGCGCGCTTTTATTTTCTGTATATGTTTCTTACCTTCATCTCGGTTACTCTTCAAGCTTATCAAACCCATGTAATGTCGAATGAGTATTTAAGGCATTTTAAGTACATAAACAAGCAAGTCCTTACAAATGTCATTTGCCGCTTGAGCAAAAAAGCGTACGATCACAGAAACATTTGGATTCTTGAATAGTGCCGTCATATGAATTTCCAGAATCGAGTAACATACTGGATTTCGATTTGTTGCTGTAATTGTTTTATGTTAGCCATAGTATGGTACCAGTTTCAGCCCACACCGGACACTCAAGCACTATTCTAGAGCACAAAGCGATCTCTCTCTCCAGTCCAAGTAAGTGTGCAATTAAAGTTATTTTTGATTTTACTCTAAAATGAATCTCTTACCTTTCCGCACACCACTCGACGAGAAAACCCATCAAAATGAACATTGTCGGTTTAAAAAAGTGCCAACGTGTTGACGCAAAAGAATCACAGAAGTGACACTGAGCGTAGCGTTTCACAGACTCGGTGTTTACCATCATCGACCTGCAGAAAAACGGCATGTTAATCGTTGATCGCCACATAGCCGCATGTAAATTTTGGGGCGAAACGTCATTTTCGGCAGCGTCATCTCCAACGCTCTCCGGTTAGATCGCAGTGGTTGGTTAAACGTTTCTCCTGGAAAAGAAAAAAAGCGCATGGACATTGGAAAAGCGTTGACGGCTCGCGGTTATACACTTTTTTGTACTTTAAATTCTTTTTTTAATTGCTCTTGTTGGAAATTGATGAGCGAGTTTGTTGCCTCCTTTGAAGACATCACAAAAACGTAAGGCGATGTTATGTGAGTGCAGACTGTAGCAGTAATGCATCGCCGAAACGGTGAAGTTTCTTTACTTGGTTCCACTATTAACGGTTTGTCTACACTTACGGATTCGCTGGCGGATCCGCGCCGGCGACGAGCGTACCTTGAAGCCGCTTGACGAAATTCACTCGTCGTTGTCTAAAAACCTGGATATGACCGGTTCCCGGACCGGTCCAGATTTTCCGCCAGCGAAGAGCGGACTTCGCCACCCGGCTCCTACATCCACCCACGGATCCACCTGCGAATTCGCAAGCGTAAAGGCATCATAATTCAAAGAGCAGTCAAAGGCAATAGGAGACACACATACACGGACACGCATGCGGAAAGCTCGAGGTCACGGACCATTCACTGCTTCAGGCTTGGTAGTCGATGATAACACACAGTCGAAAGTTTATGAACGCCGTGACGCTGCGCTTTTGGTTCTGCTTGGTTGGACTCGGCTGCAATAGCGTCGGATGTGTTCTGATTAAAGATGAACGAGTATACAAGATCTGTAGTTCACGAGCTTTTACTTCAGATTTCACGTGAAGAGTATTGCAGACATTACTTTTTAGACTTGGGAGGGGAAATATAACCGAGTTTATTTTGGTGTAATACGCCAAAACAACGGGGACAGAAACGAAGATAGAACCAGGCAGTTAACGTGCGTTATTGAGGGGAGTGAACAGACAAAAATATGGCAATGTAATCAACTAAAGAAACAGTTAGTAAGAGTGTTCAAAACGAACAGCAACACGAATAGCAGCAACTGCAGCAATACAAGCGGGAAGGTGGTTCTAGTTGTTTGATGTTCAAGGTATAAAAGACTTTGGGTAGTAGCATCATGGCACTGCTTATATGCTTTCTCTGGTAAAATTGTTTTGCAAACATTCTGTTTTGTCAAGTTAACTGTCAGGGATTTACAATTCATTCTTTATAATGTCAACAATATGGAAACGAAGTAATTTTTGTTGGTTTTAAAGTGATCATTACCCTAGTGAAAATATTATATCTGTAAGATATTTCTGACTCCAATAAACGCACATGATCAAATAATGTCATATAAGAACATATAAGAACCATACAAGAGTGTATAAGAAGTTATAAGAAGCTTATAATAAGTTCTTTATAACTTCTTATGTAATCTTATATTGTTTTATAAGTTTCTTATAGGCTCTTACGTGATCGTATTTGATCATATGCGTTTATTGAATCAAACAATTTCTTATATATAATTTTTACTATGGTAACTATAGGCTTTCAGGAATGAGCCCTGTGACCTAGGTAACTATTGCGGCAGGGTACTGAACATATTGTGACAAATTTTGACGAACAATAAAATACTTTAAAATAATTTGGGTAAGCCCGCAATACTCGAAGCGAAGTCAGTCGAATCTCAATAATTAAACTCTCTTAATTCAAACTTGCGGATGATTCAAGCTAACATGCAGGTTTCATTCTATGCTTCTCTATGGGAGGAAACTCCCGGTAATTCACACTTTGCTTTATTCAAACAAATGTTTGGTCCCCCTCGAGTTTGAATATAACGAGATTCGACTGTATAAATCTGGGAAACCGGAAACAATGAATAATACGAGGGACGAAACACAAAACCGCCGATGTGTATGTGTCGATCTTCTTTTTCTCGCTGGTCTCGGATTTCTCAGACGTTAAAAGTACACCAGGTGGCGTGTATAATCTCCGTTATTTCTAAGCATCAATACGCGTATTTGGTTTAATGTGATGTGGAAGGACAGCTCTCGGTAAAGCAAACCTCTTTTCTACTTTGGCATAGGATATATATACTTTTAGTAACTTTACTCCCCTTCGCATGTTGACACACTTCTTGATTTTCTAGAGCGTGTAACTCTCGGTGTTTATGTCATATACACTGATGATTTCGCGACGAAGTTCGCTAACTATCATCATGATCGACACGAAGCTAGAGGCTACTTCCGGTCGTTATTAAAAGCTGTAAGTACAAATACTTCTTTGCTATATTTTATCACGCCTACTTATAATCACCGACCACTTTAGAAGCACAGGGCGTGGCCCTGGGCATCATATTATCGCTCCGCGGCCAATCAGATAGCGACATTAGCCGATAAGAATACCCGTAAACGATTCACGCCTAAGCAATGAAGCGTGAACATAATAAGCCATGACCGGAGCTTCTTAAGCCGTCGGTTGCTGCATCGAAATTTTCACTAAGTTTATTTAACGACTTTATTATGTTGGCTGCCTTGCGCTCCAAATTTTCATGCGGTACAAAATAGAAGGTCGTACGCATCTGTATGTAGTAGCGTTGTACTTCAAATACATGTCAAACCGTTTGTATTGTGGAGCGATAACTTGAGTGCTAGTGCAGTCGACAACAATTATTGGTGACTCCGCTAAAACTCGCAATGCCTATAGTGACCGAAACTAGAAAACATAAAAGCAGAAGTATTACTGAAGTCGTGAAGCAGACCGAGAAAAAGTATGTGGTGGTGAACGTGACTGTAGACGTGCAGAAACTGAAGGAGAGGAGGAAACAAGAGCGCGCGCGTCTGTGACATCAGAAAGCCGAGCTCCGGTTGGAATGCTTAGTGGGTCGACCTACAAGCTAGCTGCTACCACTATACTGTGTCATAGTCCCTAACACCCAGTTAGGGACTATAGTAAAACACGCATTTTAGTTTCTTACTGGTTTCAGGTTGAACTGCGATTCGGGACTACGATGCCCATAATTCTTGAGTTGATTCTTGTTGGAAGTCGGACTTCTCCCGTAAGGCAGTCTGCTCATATTTTGCAATGCGACAGGAGGATATGCGCACGGCACTGAAATTTGTTTGTTTACAGGCAATAGACGCTGCGTGCCTTGTGCTGACAGCTCAGGATGAAGGGGCTCCGGTAGACGCTGAAGCTACTCTTGGAAAACTTAAACAGTGCAAACAAGATGACAGAGACCTGAAAGAAGCTGACGTACTGCTTCTGTTAACAACGTAACATTCTGTTGATTTTTTTGTCGGCGTTGTATTATAAGTGCTGTAACAAACTAATATTTTTAGCTAGAGAGCTGCAAAGAAAGGAGCAAATGTTTACAATATAAGTACAAATGTATGCTTGATGTCTCGAGCCCCGCTCCAGTTGAAGGATCTTACTTTACAAAATCTGAAAGGAAAAACTACGTGAATAAGGATGTAATTATAATGCAATTAAATGCAAAGGTGCAAGCGAGCTGGACAAAAATGACGAAAATAATCCCTGGAGAAGGAGAACAAGAGGGACAAAGGACAAACATAAATCTCCAAACACAGCTTGCTGACTGGTGAGCGACCGAAAAAATCCGCCTGGTCGGGGTATCGAACCCGGGACCTCTCCATTACAGGTGGAGCGCTCTACCAGCTCCAGCTCGCTTGCACCTTTGCATTTAATTGCATTATAATTACAACCTTAACTTGCAAGCTTCACCCTTGTTGGTGTTAGACTGGTGGCGACTGATAAAACCCGTTTGCTCTACTGCCGTCTAACCCCTGGTTAGCTCAGTTGGTAGAGCGCTCCACTTGTAATGGAGAGGTCCCGGTTGGATACCCGGACCAGGCGGATTTTTTCGGTCGCTCACCAGTCACCTAGCTGTGTTTAGAGATTTATGTTTGTCCTTTGTCCCTCTTGTTCCCCTTCTCCAAGGATTATTTTCATAAGGATGTACTCTTGCTGAGCGCAATACCTAATTCTAAATTGTCGTACAATGAGAACAGCAGTCAATATTTAATGGCGGGACAATTGCTCCACGAGCAAAGGGTCTAGTCGTCCCAGCCTCGTTTCGAAAATGTCAAACCAAAATACTTCTTTTTCTGGAAAATATTTCTTATGTTTATGGCTTTCTTCAGAATTTAACGTGTATGAATGATGTATACGTACTATAATACGATATGTTTTGTTGTCTTAGAGGTTAATATAAAATAATAAATCAATGTGTAATCCTTGTGCGGCGGTCATACGCTTTTGCCGCTCTAGTTTTTTTTTTGTTTTTTTTTTTTAGATAAAACCAGGCACGCGGAGAAGCAAAACCAAACGGAAAACGTTATTTTGTAAAGGTTTTATTATTTGGTCTGGAACCATATTGATCCTTCATTGCAATCTCTCTATCAACAGAAAATCAATTACACGGTCAAACCAAGCGTCCTGGCCAGGTAATGCTTAAATACACATATGCTCCCTGCCTACGCTAATTTCTATTTTTCTTCGAAAGGCAACGCAACACCACAAGGTATATGCACCTGTGAGAGCGTGGGTCTTGCCACAGACGACGGCCGAACTTTTTCGGGCACTCACCAAGTTTCTGTAGAATTGGCATTACTGTAAGTTGGATGACATTATTTTTAACTGAATGTGCGTCAGAGCAGTTCCTATTTTTTTACCATTTTCTCGTGAAAATACTTAATGGTTTATTGTTTTCTGGTGCGTTGGTTTATGTTTAAGTTGTTCTATAAGGCACTAAGTCTATATAGTACTATTGCGCTTCCTAAAATGCTCTTCTTCAGGGCGGAACCGGTGCCAACGTCTAGTAACGGCCGAAAAAATCTCGAGTTCTATGTGTAATCACAATACTAAATTGTGTTATTGTTTTACGCTAGAGCTTCCTAACATTGGCCTAAACTCACAGAAAGCACACAAAAAGGTTCAGGTAGGGTTGACTTTGCACAAATAAAAAGCAGATACGATTGCTAAACGACAATAATCGCACCCGCTAGGGAATGAGAAAGTCAGTCATGACTCATGCGCAAACGACAAAAATGAAACATGTAAAACAACCACACCAGTAATTGTGTGCTGCAGGGAAGTATTCTCACATATATATATATATATTTTTTTTTTATAGAAATGCAAGCATCGCATTATGGTGTGCGGTAGTGTGTCGGTACTACGTACGTTGTGTATGTCGCCAGGCTATCAGTCGCATCACACTGGCTAAACTTCTTATCGACAGCGTGAATCTAGGTCGCCATACTGTAACAGACCGACATCGCGTTGTCTAAGAATCTAAAGCCCAATTTCAATTTGGATTTTCAAAAACAATGCTACCAGCTTTAAATATGTGGGCGAATAGGCCTTGTTTAAGCAGGACAGGTTTTCTCTAGAAGTGCAACGCGGTAATAATGATTAGTGTTTGAGGGAGACTGAAGTCTACTCCCCCCTTTCCTTCTAATTTTTGTGCTTAGCACGCATGTCAGAAAATAAACTCCCCCCCCCCCCCCCCCCCACACACACACACACGAAAAAAAAAAAGCGCCATGCTTACGCTAGGAGACTCATTTTGAGTCTTGCGTCGGGCTTCCATTTTGTGACAGACGTGTGCAATCCAGAGAGTTCTTGGGAGATACAAGAAGTTCAGGGATATCTAGTGAGTTCATGGAGATCTAGGGAGCAATGCAGGGAGATCTAGGAAGTCAATTCTTCCTAGGACCAATTCCGAAACCTTCTATTTCGGGTCAGCGTGACGGAATAGAAGCGAATTTCAGAATCGTTTTTATGAATTTGGGATTACGGCTGTTTTCAGCTGAGACAGTGTCTCTGAGTTAAAAGAAATAATGTTTTCCTCTAAACTGTGTGTAGTTTTATGAATATCACGGCTCAGAGTTTGGTTTCAGGCGTCTACAGCAAAACGGAAACTATCTGTTAGGGCAGTTGTCTCAAACTCATTTGACTGTGGCGGAAGGATGGGTCTACACCGTAATGGTTGAGGGCCAGCTTAAAATGGGAGGGGGGGGGGGGGGGGAGGGAGGGTTAAAAAAGATTTCAAAGAGTAGCGACCTCATCCCCTATGCTTTTCGTTAACTCAGTTTTCCCAATGACATCTTTAAACATAATTTGTTTATGACTACCTTGGGCCCGGGTCTGATGTAACAATAATTAAAAAGACAATACTCCGTAAACCTGCTGGGTTATTTAATATAACAAGAAGGCAAGTGCACTGTCGTTCCCGTTGCTCAATTTACTCAAAAATTAAACAAGTTCAACATGTTTCTAAAAAAAAACACAATCAGTTAATTTGACAGTTCTTGCTTTAACGACGATTTCTATAACAACACTTCGAGCAAATACTTGTCTTTTAATGGTGATTTATTTTTTAAGGCAATAGTATCAAGCTTGAAGCTTTATCTTTGGCTATTGCTGCTGCTGATCGATAGTTCGCGCACGCGAGACGCATTTTCCAACGAAGAGCTCACACATGCAGCCTAGTAGCGGAACTGTTGTACATGACAAAAAGCCGGAAAGATAAACATAAGCGAAACAAAGGGAAAACAGACAGGTATAAACTATGTGAATACGTTAAAAGAGCAGAGCTATATTCGGAGCGTAAATGAATCGGCGAGATGAGATCCCTATAGCGCATGCCATTTCTAGCGCTCATGACAAGGGATGCGGGGCTCGTAGCTGGTTGCCGGCGGGCCGCGTTCCAGCGAGTCGCGAGCAGCATGTTTGAGACACCTGTGCTAGAGGGATGGCAGCACTGATCATCAGTCGTACGGCACTGTATGGAGGGAGGGGGTAATGTAAACCAAGTTACATCCGGAACCTTTGACGCAGACGACATTGTACTGTTAGCAGATAGCCAAGATAGCTTACAGGAGTTGATTAAGATCTGGAGAGGAAGGAGACTCTCTGGGCTTGAAATTCAGTAGCGACAAGTCGGGAATAATGTGTTTTGAAGTAGTAATTTGAGCACTTTCGGCCTACCTGTCCTTTCGATTCGTCTGTGTTCTGTGCGCTGTTTTATTATGCTTGCGAATGATGGTTTATACCGATGAGAAGGGGGACCCGCTTAAAATCCAACACGTTTTTATAGAATACGTAGAAATGTATAAATAGTACCTAGGAGTACGGCTGAATGGGGACAAACAATACTTAGAAGCAAATATGCTAGAGAAAGGAAAAAGGGATTGAAGCAATTATGAGGCATAGGGCACTATGGAATTACGATAGATATGAAGTTGCTAGCGGAATATGAAAAGGAGTTCTCATGCAGGGGTTGTCTTTTGGCAATGAAGTATTATGCATGCAATCTGAGGTCCAGTCGAGCTCAGAGACTCGGCATATGAGCCGGGACTGGGGGCGCATGGGAATACACCAAATGAAGGAGTGCATTGAGTGATGGGCTGGGCATCTTTCGAGGCTAGAGAGGCGATCAGCAAGTCGAAATTTGAGCAAAGGCTCGAGACGATTCAGGGTACGCGATGGGCGAGAAAGGTATATAAACATATATACATGAAAAGCCTGACTACAAAATGGAAAAACCGAACCTGAAAACTAAAATTCAATTACTGAGAGTCAAGTTGGGGGGGGGGGGGGGGGGGGCAGAACAGACTATATCTATGAAAAATGAAGTAAAAGAAGCAGAGAGAGAAAGATGTGGGAGAAAAGAATGAAAAATCAGCCTTAACTATGTATAGGGAACGAAAACTGGAAATAAGGAAGTAACATTGGTATGCTAATTTACGGCGGAGCTTGTTGTTATTCGAGGCTAGAACGGGAGCATTGTGGACTTGAACATATAGGACAAAGTACGAGGAAATGGATACGCGCGGTGTGCCGTATGCCAAGGGGAGGACGAGACAATAGAACATGTGGTGTTGAGGGGCACAAGCCTTGCTCCGACCCTCCCGGAGGCGGCGACGGATTTGGCCAAAGTGCTGGGGTTTGCAGACGAGAGTGGAAGAATGGATGATAAGTATATTTTAATAACAAAGAGGAGATTGGAAGATTGGTGGAAATTATCTAGGGAAAATCGAATAACGTACAGCTAACTGACACAGCTGGGAATGGGCGGGACACAGGAAAATTGAAACTCCCTCCCGAGTGGCTACAGCCCCAAGTCTCCACCCTATATCTCCAAGTGGGCCCAGTGTCGGGGTAGCGCCGACTAGGCTTGGCCATAAGAAAATTGGCGACTCCCTTGCCGGGGGGAAGAAGTGGCTGATGAAGTTTTTAGCTTTTTTGCTCGATGCCTCAAAGATAATCCTGGTGATATTCCACACCACCTGGTGGTATAGTATCAAAATCGTAGAGGGTAAGCAAATTGGCGAAGATATCGTACTTATGATTCTTAATTTCTATGTTAGGTGGCGCAAGCTACCACCCGATATGAACCGCAGCTCCACTGCGACGTGACGTAACCGGGTGGACGGCGCCAGTGTTGCTTGACTAAAAGCTAACCCGCTTGCCGCCTGCTAAAGAGCAGCTGGCCGCATCTTTAAAATCGGTTATAGCGGAGTACAAGACTTCACTTTGACGTAATATTTCGGCTGTGATCATATTTCGTGCCACTAAAGCGATACCAGTCAATAGACTTCTTCCAAAACCCGAAGCGCCCCATCGCGGCGAAACGCCGCGCAGTGCACTCTGGGAACGAGTTGGCCACTCAGTATCGGTTTCGATTGAGTAGCTTCAGTTCATGCATAGAGATCAGTGGTTCATGCTATCACTCCATGAACGGATGCGCTGCTTCCGTTTTTGATTATCTGACTTTCCGCAAATGTACAATACTCTAAGCATTCTCGAGCGATATAGAAGGAAGACCGGGACACTTTTCTTGGCTCCTGACATGCCGGATATTGTGCGTGTGTGTGCAAACGTAGTAAGACGTGGCTTACTCACCACACCCCACGATTGTATCTTTCCGGTGAAACAATTGAAAGTTGGTCACTTTGAGCCCTACACGTATTTTGTTTGCCGAACGTCAGCTTCTTGTTGCTTCATTGGGCGAAAAACAAGCCGCATCCTCACAGGAGTCAAAAAGTTGAGCCCAACGTTGACGCACGAAACGCAATAAATTAGACCTCATTACTGCACAAAATTTACTATGGAGCCCTCTTCCTGTCATCGTCTATCTTCCAGTCAAATTCTATGCTGATTGGAGATTAAGTTTTCACAAAGGCTGAGACCGGCTAGCTACGACGAAGGTCCTTAACAAGCGTCCCCTACTCCTCGCTAAGCCTTTTTGGACGAGCTTTTACTGACGCCTAAAATCTGTGTCTGAAAGTTGTGTCTGAAATTATCTCGGCATACTCAGTCAGGAAGAAAGCAAACACGTAACAAATCTTATGGCCATTAAAAACCTCCAAATGCGTTTTGAATCCTTTAGTTCGTTTGGCGCACCGCATAGGGGTTCACGCCTGCATAGGGCGTTTTCACATAACGAAAATCCGCCATTTTGTTTTCAGAGTGAATTAGTAAGAAATGTTTTATCTCTATCAGAAGGAAAATATAAAAAAGGCGTGATATAACTTATAAACGTTTCGTGCACTACCTATCTGAGGGTGTCATGTGAGTCTTTGTTTGAAACACACGCTCATAGCACGCGACAAACAGCTCGTGACAACAAAATAGCGAACGAAATTACGTCTGTGAAAACATCCTGTGCGTACCGTCTGACGAACGGTCCGACATTGTTCACGCAAGTGCTAGACTGTTGCTTTTTTTAAAAACAGTTTGTATGCGAGAATGTGCTTTTGTCATTAGTTAAAGTTGTTCCTCCCGGTGGTGTGGGAGGCAGGTTCCGCTTCGATGGTCTGGAGCGTGGTGGCACGAACGTCGCTGAGTGACGGGTCGACTCACTGCTTGAATAGAACTATGTGCATTTATTTACACTCTAGTTACAAGTCCCAACTTGGGAAATCATCCTGCCTCGTCTAAAGTCTCGACCCCCGTCCCCAATTTCTCTCCATCAAATCCAAAGTCCGAATCCCTCAAAATCCTCTCCGCGCTCTTTTTGTAGGTCCGTAGGGGCCTCCTTTCCCCTCAGGAACCGACCAATCTCTTCAAATTCCGCCACTCACACGTGGTACACTGTTCTCCAATGGTCGGCCAGCTGTCATTTTAGCGTCCCAACCGCCAAACCCAAACTCCTTGTAGAGTTGTTCTCTGCAATTTTCCCAGCCTGACTGGCGCCAACCGCTAAGTTATTGCATCGGGCAAAAAGCGACAATTTCATACAAAGCGGCAAAACCCTCTGCATACACGAACATTCGGCTATAAGCCACAAGCATCTTCCAGCGCGGGCTCTTTCGGTCCCGGTCCGAGCAGACCCCCGAAACCCGAGACGCTTCTTAACGACCGGCGGGGGGACCGCTCCCGCGTCGCGGCCGCTCTGGCCCAGCCGACCCAAACGTAGAAAGCTAAAAAAACACAATGCCGACGCAACTCTGGAAAGATAAACTTTCCTAACCAAGAGAAAACACCTTAATTAATAAGCATGGCTCCTAAATACTTAACTTCATTGCTGGATAACTTCATGCGTAACGCGATATTGAATTAGTACAATGCAAGGAGGTGGAAACTTTTCTTCGTGCAGTCCTGCGGGTCAGTACAAAGAAAAGATCAAAAATATTTTCGATATTACCTTTTCAGAGTTGTGTCTCCGAGTTTTATCTCGCGTACTCAGGCGTATCAAGCAAAACAGCTTTGCAAAGAAGTATATTTCGTCAATGAACACACAAAACAAGTAACAAACTTCTTGACCAGCCACACTAATGTGAAGGTGCGAGCTCGGTGCGCGTACCTATTGATTGTTCCAGTTTTTTGGTTGACTCGTACACAAGCAAGATCCCCGAGCTTTGCAGCGTCGAGATTCTCAGCATTGGGTCGTCCACATACCTCGAAATGCTAGCATAAAAGCTCGAGTACAAAAATACAACAAGCGCATGTGCCAAGACAAAATATGCGTATGGTTAGGGCTTGTGCCAAAGCATCGAGGTCTGGCCATTTAGGTTCGTTTAGATCCCGCTGAGGGTGACCTCTCGTGACCATGAAAAATAAGATAATGGCTGTTAATAGTCCGCGCTCTGTGTATAATCTCTTGTTGACGTGTCGACCAAAACCGAAAGCATGCCACTCCTCCCTGGCCAACTAGTTCCCAGAGTGCAACAAGCGCAGTGTTGCATGAAGGGATTTATGGAAGTCTATTATTTTGGTATCGTTTTCGACAGCAGTTGACCTTTAACCTTAAATGTGTCTCGTGGCGTAAATATTGCTTTAAAATATTTTTTTCGGTGAAAATTAATTTTTGTGACAGACGTTTCATATCCACTCACTTAACAAAAAAAAAAAAAAAAGCTTCTTGGGAGTTATGTATTCCTTTAAAGGAGTGACACTGTGCATGTGTGGATGTTGTCTGGCTGACGCAGACTGCGAGCCACGAGGGACACTGAAGGAGGCGAAACTGATTGCCTGCAAAGTCAGGGATATCTACTGTCAAGTCGATTTGGCGGCTTACGATATCAGCCGTCGCGCTGCAGCGAGTTTGCAATGTTTGTCTACCTGACGCAAGTTAACCCGTAAGCCAGATTTCTACGTTTTAGGTGCATTTCGAATAACCACTCAAGGTTGTGAAGCGTAATTTACTATCGTTTGCAAGGTCTTACTTTTATAACGGTGAAGTCAAATTAATTTTGGAACTTTAATTGCGGTGACGTTTTTGTAACGGTGTATTGGCAAAGGGACAAACCAAGAAATTTGAAGTGTGCAGCGAAAAAAAAAAAAAAAAAAAACACCCTAGCGGATAAGGTGCGAAGTTAAGTAACGGGGATTAGAAACAGATCGTTAGAGGGAATAATAAAGATATAGTCTAAAATTGTCGCCACTATCACTATGCTACCATTATAGCTCAAATTTGTCAGTGTAATTTATTCATATCTTGTTTAGATGGACCCAGGGATGGGCAAAATACATGCAAATATGTATCGAAATACAAATACAAAATACTTCGTCAAAAATGTATTTAATTACAAATGTAATTACATTTCCAAAAAAGTGTTTAAATACAAGATACAAATACAACCAAATGTATTTGTTCTCCTCCATATACTTTTCCAAATACATTTATCAAAATTGGCGTCAGCGACTTCAGGGCACCTGCAACGGGTTTCTGGGTATCTTATTTTAATTTTGCATTGCACACTCGGGAGAATTAGTGTGCGAGGCTCTAGTAACGTAATAGAAATATAATCACAAAAAAATGTAATCAGCTTGGACGTAATAGGTGAAAAAAGTACAGAGCTTCAAGCAGCTTTTTTGTCGATTACATTTTGGTATAGACCAGGGGTAGCCATGCTGACCCGGTCTCAGAGCCGCAAACAAAATCACGAAACTTCCAAGAGCCGCAAGGCAAGGGGGGGGGGGGGGGGGGGGGGAGAGGAAGGAGGGAGGGGGGGAGAGGGAGGGGAGGGGGGAGGGGGCACAAACTTTTGTTCAGAGCAATAAACGAAACTCAAACTATTTTCAATCTATCCGAGTCAAAAGCAGCCCAACTCTACGTAACGTAGCATAGCGCAAGACTACCAAACCGCAACCTGTCTTTCGATTTAAAACGCGTTTCATTTCTCTATTTGGGGAAGTGCTTGTGTGACAAGGAGGAAGGCGTGGAAAGGGGGGGGGGGGGAGTAGGGGAGGGAGCCGCGAGCCGCACTTTAAGACGCGAAGAGCCGCATGCGGCTCGCGAGCCGCAGCTTGGCCACCCCTGGTATAGACCAACAAAGAACCGAGACGACCAAGACGCGCAGCACTAGCTAGAGAATTTTTCATTGTTGCAACTCGCACCATGCAGTTACAAGACTCTGGACGACCCGCGCATTTAGAATGTTCCAGGCAAAAATATGGAGGGAAATCAGGCTGGAAAGCATCACAAGTTGTCACAGGCACTTATTTAGCCAGTCTGCCTGTGAACGTCGATTTCGTCACTATTCTTGCCCTGGACTAGCACCATAGTCACAAAGTCACTAAACGCTTGTGCTTGATTGAGAGACACTGCATTCTGTGCAGAACGTAGTTTTCTTCCTGCTCTGGACAGTGACAATAAATTTGAGGGATGTATTTTCGCCCACAAAATTGTATTTAATTACAATTGTATTTGAAATACCCCCGTTTTAGTATTTAAATACACACGTCAAATACATTACCTAATTTGTAATTAAATACAAATGCAAAATACACAAAATATTTGAAATACATATTTCAAATACTTGTATTTGAAATACTGCCCATCCCTGGATGGACCTTGTTAATATGGATAGTAATTTTTATACCAGCCATTTCTGGTCTGTTATTGTAAAAATCGGAAATCCGCGCTGAGGACAGCTAACATGGGAACGAATTCGGTGAAAGGTACATCTACGTCTGGTTATTACGGACAAACGTTTTCTCAGGAAGGTCCAGACATAAAAGAAAATAAGCAAGAAAAATTTGAAGTTCTTAGATCTGGAACTACAGCCAAACAATCACTACTGTACATAACGGAAGGGCGCAGGTAAGCTGGTTGAACATTTTGAAGCATACTGACACCTTCCTTCTCTTCTCTTGGTGTCAACTTTCGTATTTTCTCAGTCTTGAGTGACTTCAAAATCACTATTGTTCGTCCTTCCCTGCCCGTTCCGAGGATTAGGAAAACCTGAGCATCGATCAATGGTTCGTTTTTTTTTTTTTCTCGACTTTCAGGCCAATAGACCTTTTCTGAAATTTAGTCTGGCCACTTTGATCACCATCATCATCGGAAAAATGGCATATGTGCCGTACTAATGGCGGCCTTCTGTTTACTGATGAACGAAGAAGTTGAAGATGCTCCTTAGCAGATAATTTGAGGCTTATACATTCGAGACGTTAGCACAATGCGAAGCAGGAATTGAAAGCAAGATTTGCGTAAGCGTTCATTTCTAGCTCGGGCCCAGCCAATCTGTTGGTAGCATGAAGGTGCTCCAAAGCCCCTTGATTTGTAGAACTTTATCAAGCCGTGTACGTGGGTTGACGCTTCGTTCTGACTGGTTGCATCTTCGTTTCTGTCGTCACTGATAGAGACTGAGAAGGAAATGTACTGTGAAGCGCACACTGTCGTTTGCCGTTGACTTGCCAAAGTGACGGTGCCCGAGAAAATACGGCAGACTCCATCTTCCATGCCGCAATTAGTACGGCAAAAGTTAAACTGCCATTATAGCCACCAGATGTCACTGAAGTTCGGGAAGGGTTAGAGTTCCTCGAGAGAAGAAGATGATGGTTCGCTGAGGAAGACGTGTCCTCGCAGCGCTCCGCTCAGCTTCGTTCAAAATGCTACATCCGAACAACATTTCGGGATCCGTGCCCTCAACGGAGGACATGGAGACCACCCAGGCTCACCTCACCCCCATAGTCGCCCCCGTGGCGACCCCGGCTCTGCCCAGCAAGCAGCTCGAAATCACCAACCTAAACTTCACTGGCCCGCCGGGCTTTCAGGTGGGCAACATCAAGTTTGGAGGCGGTTCTCCCCCCTCCACAGAACAACTAAATCAAACCTCGCAGCTCGTGCGTAACGCCCTCGCGGATCTACCTCAAGATCTGCAAATCCAAGCCCTCCAATCCGCTATTGGAGAACGATTTTACATTCAAGTCCGTCTAAAAGAGACACCATCAAAACGTCTGACCGAACAATCGTTAGACAAAAAACGCAAGACTCAGAAAAGAGTGACCACCCTCCCTGGCGGGCACGACAAAACGACAGCAAATGTGCCGCTCGTCCAGGCAACAGTGCTAGACACCTCTATGGAGGCATACCCCACAGATAAGTCCACACCAGATGACGCAGAGCCGGTGCAACTCGACCCAGACACAAACGGCGAAGACTGGCACACGGTTACGTACAAAAAGAAAAGAAGGCGGAAGGAATCTTTAGTTCCCCCTGACTAACTCAACACCGGGGGCAACCCGCGGGCGAAAGCAAGGCAGCCCAATCGCTGGGAGTTCGAGTACAAAATACGTCTTACGCACTCCCAAACATCTATCAAACCAGTCTTACATCTGCTCCAAATGCAGCTCACTCCAATCTCAAAGGACTTTACACTACACCTGATCGAGAAGAGTAACATAATCTCGCTTCGTACGAACTGCAAGAACGTGGCGGAAGCCGTGGAGCAAGTTACTCATTTTTCCCTCAACTCCCAGCAAGTCCCTGCCCAAGTCTTCCGGACCTACGGCGCCACATACACGAAGGGGGTCATTTACGACATCTTCTCACTGGAAGAAGACCCGAAAGACGAGACACTCAACTCGGACCTTGAAAGTGACAAAATACGCCTAGTCTCTGCACGACGATTAGGGAAATCTAACACGGCCGTCCTCACACTCGACGGCCTGAAGCTCCCGCGCTCCGTATTATATGGACGACGCTTCATGACAGTTTACCCGCACAAGCCAAAAGCGGTCACCTGTGGCAAATGTCACCGCCTCGGACACAAGCAGGACATATGTCCCTACCCAGCCGTTTGCCCGCGTTGCGGCGCAACCCACTCTACTTCAGCCACGTCTGGCCAAGGCCCTGATTGTTCGTCTGAGGTACCCTATTGCCAGGGGTGCAAAAAGACGGGCCACCTGGGCACAGACCGTCTATGCCCTACCTGGCTACAAACCAACAAAAAATGCGCGAAGAAGTACAAAGGTATAAGGAACAGCACAAACAACATCAACAGCTACTGCAACAGGATAAACGGCCCCCACCCACATCTCTTTTTGAGTACCCGCAGCTCCCCTCTTCGCAGAGCCTGGAAAGAACCATTGCAGCACACAACACGTGGGCAACCCAGCCTCATCTCGACCAAACAAATCCTAAATTACCTTGGGATTCAAGAGTCACCGACATGCAAGAAATCCGCAATATGTTCAGGGCTCTGAAAGACGAAATTGAAAGAGTTTCGACAGCTCTGAACGCTCGTATGGACGCAACCCTCCTTGCCGAGCAAGAGTTTAACAAACGGTTACAACAGTAGCAACAGCAACAGCAGCAACACCAAAGTTTTTTCAACCAAATCCGGTCCGTCATTAACCTCCCCCAGCCCGTCGCCAAATGATCAGGATCCTTCAATGGAATTGTCGCGGACTCGGTCAACGAGCGGCGGAGCTCCGCACCGGATTCCTCGAACGTCCTGATCAACGCCCTGACGTACTTCTAATCCAAGAAGCCAATTCTGTTGCCATTAAAATTAGAGGCTTTACCTCCTATGCGTGCCCCTCTATCCCAAAATATCAAAGTGGCCCTCGTTCTACCCTTTGCGTGAAACCAGGCTACGCGCTAGTGTACGTTCGTACCGACTGGCCGCAACATCAAATTGATCTCGCCCAACACTGCAACGACAGTCAAGAAATAGTTGCGGTTCGTGCCACGACCATTAAGAACAATAACGTGATCTTCGTCTCGGCAAATCTTCGTCCTGGGGCAAAGCGGACAATCGATTACGATTGGATCTCTTACATTCATCAAACCTACCCCCAAGAACAGAAGTTGTATGGAGGCGATTTCAACCTGCATCATCCAGCCTGG